CAAATCAAAAGTGATTGGAATTAAAATTACCCAAAGTTCCTGATCCAGTCCTGATAAGGAGTAAACTAAGGTTTAATTTTTTAAAATAATTCAAGAAGAACAAGGTTCCGGTTCAAAGTCTGCCTCAGGTACTTCTATCCACATTTCTTCTAAGAGCTTTCCAGGGCTCTTTCTGTCCCAGAGCCCAGCTTAGGGAAGAGTAGTCGACAGCCCGTTCATTTCGTAGCACTTACACTAGAAGGCCTGGGGTGGGTGGGTACAAGGCTCAGGCCGAAATGTCTTACACTTCACAATTTCATCTCGAATGCAAAAATCAGATTGGAGGGCTGCAGAGAGGATTGAGCACTTATCCAGTGCCGTGCCCCATTATGTGGAGCGGTTCCTGGGAGGAATGTTCAGGAGGGGGTGGCCCCCTGGCCGGTCTGAAGCCCAGAGCCCACGCAGGGGCACCTCGTCTCCCGGCAGCTCCTGAGCAAAGGGAGAGAACCCGAGGAGGGGCTGTGCGGGTTGTTTACAGTGAGAGCGAGGGTCGTGATGGTGTGGGAGTGCCAGACATCTGGGACAGCGCCGGGGCATTCAGACGGCCGCCTCCGCCTCACCTGGTCTGAAAGACGTCCCAGACGGGGCGTGGAAGGGAGACCGATCGATGGGGAGGAGGGTCACGAGTTAAAGAGGCCGGACAGGGGAGGGAGGATGCCTCCGGCGGCGACTCGCGGCTGCCGGGCTCACGTCTGACTCTGGGCGGAGCGGAGCCTCAGTGGCTGCTAGAGCCGCTCGGTGACATGCCGCGTCCCCTTGCGACTAGAAGACCCGACGCCTCCCGGCCGCCCGGCTCACGCTGCTCCCTCCGGTCACCCAGCTGTCCCCGCCGGGCGCCCCCTCCGTGCGCCATGGCTGCAGGTGAGCCGCGCCGCGCGCCGCTCGGAGGCATCAGGTGTCGTGGGAAAGGTGCCCGCGGGCCGCAGGGAGGGACCGCGATGTCGCCGGCCGTCGGTGACACAGAGCAGGAGGGTCGGGCCTCC